CAGCATGTTTGATGTGTAAAGCTGGAACACCTGATATCTAGTGTTTCAGAGAGATCTCAGTCTCAAGGACCTGCACGGCCTGAACCCTGTAGAAGTGATCTGTGGGATCAGATGGAGGTGTTTTCTGCTTGGCGTTTGACACTTGAGTTTAAAGCAACAATCTTTTGTTGTATGCTGGCTTAACTTGTCTTTTCAAGGTGATCCAAAAGGCTGATTGAAATCGTGATGGTTTGACATAATGAGGTTTGCAATTGTGGCGCATCCCTAAAGAGTTCATTTGAATGCTTGCCTGCCATCTCTAGCTTGAAAAATCTCCCTAGAGAGGGTTCAGTCTTACTTATGAAGTGAGAAAGTAATCTACACGTGGCTTTCGAATGAGAATGATTCAAAGTTGTATTTTAGAACATATTTATCCGATTGTGTTTGATCAACACACTACTTGGCAGTTTAGCAATTGCTTTGTGCTAAATTATGCAGTGTAGAACAAATCAAAATATCATGCTGAATGTCAGATTAAGAGCTGTTTAGACAGTCAATGTCTTGTGATGATACACAATGACAGTGTCAGGTATTACACTGCACATATGTTCACATTCACAAGAGGAATAAATATGCACAGGTATGCTATTAAAATAATCTCTATATATTGACCTAGATCATTTAAATACTATGAATTTTGTTCGTATCTTAAGTTCTTATTTTAATATTCCCTGTGGCATTTATTTATTGATTGATTGATTGATTTTCACAATGACAACTTAATAGGGTAGTTCACATAAAAGTGACAAATTCTGTCATCATTTGCTCACCCTCATGTCATTCCAAAACATATTCCAAATTCGTGAATCTTCCATGCAACTCTTCATGACCCTCAACTTCCTGCTAAAGTTGTCCCCGTTGCTGAAGAGCAAGTAATTGTCCGTCTAGCTGTTAAGACCTTGTAGATCGTAAAATAAATGTCTCTGAGTTTTTCTTGGCCTTCTGAGGGAGATTTGGGCAGTGAGGCATGGACAGCTTTATTGAGAAAGTTTTGTGACCACACAGTGGCAAAGGTGTGTGTGTGTGTGTGTGTGTGTGTGTGTGTGTGTGTGTGTGTGTGTGTGTGTGTGTGTGTGTGTGTGTCAGAAAGAGAGCTGTAGATGAAGAAAAACAGGCCTGTGGGGACCCTTTCCCCATCCATCCTCTGTGACTTTCAAACAGCCTTTTTTTCTAATTGCTCCCTCTCTCAGAAGTTTTAGAAAGGTGACTTAGAGACCCAAAGGACATTTAAACCTAAAGAGATGAAACTGTCCCCAGGGAAGTCACTTCCTCCCAAAGTGGGTTTGTTAGGTCAGGACAATCAACTACAGTGAGTACATACTGTAAACCCCTCTGGAAATGGACAGTAATAAAGGACTTAGTACTAAAATTAAATTCAGTATTTTCAATAACTAAAATCTAATTCAAAATATTAACAAAAACTATAATAGTGTCTCAATCATACTGAAGTACAACAGTGTTATTTTCATATCATTGAGACGTTATTATATTTTTCTGTTAATATTTAGATTTTAATGATAAAAAATATTATGATAAAAATATTGAATTCGATTTTAGTTAAGTTTTTGATAATTTTGTTGTTGTTGTATTTTTCATTAATCTTTGTTGTTTTTAAATATGTTTATATAGTGCTTATTAAATTCAGTTAAATTAAATATTTTAGTACAATCGAATTAAACTAAATGAAAATGAGAAGTGTAGCCTAGGCAAACTAGCTGAAATAAAATAAGGTTAGTTTTTTTTTTATATATTAATTTATTCCAGTTAACATTTATTTTATTTTTAAGTAACAGCATTTTTATGGATTTAGTTTGATTTACCTATAATAACCCTGTTTGCATTTTGGCTTAGAATGTTGGCATGTGCATAACTACATATTTTGAAAATATTCTGAACAACTAGTCGATTAAAACAAAAAATAAATAAATACAATTCTAGATGAACGAGTCAGTGTCATTGTTGTTGGGCAAATAGTAAATCATCACCATATTATATATGGCCAAAGAGATTTCTTGGTTGCATGCTATTTCACAAATCCCACAGCCATTTTTATGTCAATATATCTTTATCTTTATATATACATATATATATATATATATATATATATACACACACACGCACACACATGCATATAAAGTTGCTTTAAACTTTTAAACTTTTTAAAGTTTAAACTTTAAACTATTAAGTCATGAGTTTGTTCAGGTGGTTTTACTCTTTTTACTCTTCGATTGTGCTCCGTCATCAGTTTCATCCTGGCAAGACAAATGGCCTCTTCAGGCTTGGAAGAGGCGGCGATTGGTCCAGCAAACATCCTGTGCTGTTATTGAGCAATCTTTGCATTTTTTGCTTGCCAATGAAAGTGCTTTTAATGAGTTACAGTTCCTGACCAAACAAAGCTCGTATCCTCAGCTTGTATACAAGACTTGCTTCTTTTCGTCAGAAAGTGAAGTATGGGCTTACATTATCCATAGCAAACTTAAACACTTACACAGCGTGATGCTTTGATGGCAGTGTGTTTACACTGGATAAGGCTTTTGTAATGTTCCTCTAGCCTGATCTGAGTGTGTGAGCGCTGTGGACTGGAAATGGAGCAGAGAGAACAATTGCGGGATTTTTTTGTTTGTTTTTGCCTTGAGCAAAAGCAGTGTTTCTGAAAGTCTCACAGTGTTCTCTCACTCTGTTACCGCGCCATCACCAGCATTATATGCATGTTAACGGGCCAGAATACAATTCCATGTCAGCGTAATTTCACCATGTATTAAAACGTGTTAATGGACTGTTAGCCGTCAGAATGAAAGAGAGATGGAATTGTGATGATTAAAACTGACTCATATAAATATATGTAAATCAAAAGTTTGGGGTCAGTAGGATTTTTTCAATTAATTAATTTATTTTTATTAATACTTACTCAGCATGGATGCATTCAATTGGTCAAAAGTGACAGTCTAGAGTCTAGACACTTAAAATGTTACAAAATATTTTTATTTCAAGTAAATGTTGTTCTATTATTATTCATCAAAGAATTCTGAAAAGAAAACTGCAGCTGTTTTAATCATTACTAATAATTACAATAATTTTTCAGTTGAAATAATATTTCAAAATATTTTTGTTTTTAATGTATTTTTTAATCAAATAAATGCAGCCTTGGGTCACGTATAAGAAAGTTCTTTCAAAAACATAAAAAAGACTCCAAACTTTTGAACGGTATTTAGTTTTGGAGTAAAGTTTTTTTAACCAATAAGTGTGAAGTGATTGAGGAGCGGAAAATGGAAAATCCGGCGAGGATTTGGAACGGCGTGATTACAGACTGCTTTCGGCGGGGAGGGAAATTGCCTGTCACTCCAATCCGCTCACACCACTGCCGCTGATACAGATGATTAAACAACTGCTTTCACTTGAAACCCTGGACCTCTGCAGTCTGTTTTGGATGACTGAGAGGAAGACATCTGAGAGATGAGCCGTGGACGATGTCTTCTGAGAAGCTGCAGAAGATCAACCACACACACTTCCTGAAGCATCAGAGCGTGATTTCTGCTATCTGCTGAATCCAAAACCAGGATGGTATTGGTGAAATATGACTTTGAATTCACTCTGATGTCATGTCAGAGTGATTGAGTTTCCGAATGTTAAAATCGATCCATGTCTTTGTCCATTTTAATCAATGAAATGGCAGGCCTTCGACATTTAAAAGTAGTTCTGTACGTCATTCAGGTTCCTGCTTCATTTTTCTGTTTGAAAAATCACTTTATTATAGCCAGTGTTACCTGGTTCACTTTGTTTTTCAGTGTTTTGCAAAGAAGTATAGAGGTGAATAAATAGAAATTAATTATCAACAACAAAAGCCGCACATGGATCCATGTTGGCACTATGAGTGTTGCCATAGAGACTAATCATTTCAGAGTGCGAGTACGTGAACAGCTGAGAGCAGAATCAGAGTTGTTGACATATAGTCATGCTAATTCAGACATGACGTGATGCTATTTAAATGTTAAAAGATCCCGTAAACCCTTGAAGGGTAATTTATCTTCAAATAAGGAAACGAAGCATGAAGTCACGATGTCGAGAAGGTCATTTTTTGTTTTCTGTTCCAAATAAATTTTAGATATTTTGACCAAAACCACCTTTGATATCCATCTGGAGAACCTGAAAACGAATTATCACTGCTGTTTTTCATTAACTCTGTATAATAATTCCCTGACCAACCACGAAACACAGTGACATTTTCTCAGTAGTCAGTGGAAATGATCTCCTCCGCGCAGGACGCATATGCTCTCTCACACACACACACACACACTATAAGCCCAGCGGTGACACCTCGATAAATGTAACCATGAATGTGTTTTTTGTGGTCAGTAAGAAATTAATACTTTTATTCAGTGAGAACACGTTAATTAAAAGTGACAGTAAAGACTTATACATTGTTACAAAAGATTTCTCATTCAAATAAATGCTGGTATTGAACGTTCTATTCATCAAAGAATCCTGAAAAAAAATGTATCACAGTTTCCACAAAAATATGAAGCAGCACAACTGTTTTCAACATTGATAATAATCAGAAATATTTATTGAGCAGCAGATCAGCATATTAAAATGATTTCTGAAGGATCATGTGACACTGAGGACTGGAGTAATGATGCTGAAAATTCAGCTGTGATGCACAGCAATCAATTACAATTTAAAATATATTCAAATGTTCAATATTCAAGTGTTTTTAGCTCAGCCTTGGCAAACATAGGAGACTTCTTCCAAAGACATCAGAATATTTCACTGTCCCCAAACTTTGAACAGTAGTATACATCAGCAACTTCTTAGACCCTTAAAAAAATTTGGTTACATAAATGTGGACTAAATGGGATTATTGAGTAACAAATTCATCACTGAGATCTCAGGTCGCACAAATTCCAGACAGAGGCAAACACTTTTAAATATAAACACAGATTATGTTTTTCTCTCTCTTTCAGAGGGGCTCAGAAATATTGCCATGGACTCCAACTCTTTAGCCATGCCCATGTCGGACCCTAATGCTTGGGCGACTGCCATGAACAACCTCGGGATGGCCCCCATGAGCATGACTGGACAACCTATCATGTCAGGTAAGCTATCAACTCACCATACTTTACAATGGCATTTCTATATATATATATATAGAAGTGTAGCCTAGCACTTCTAACTACTGATTTTGGATATCGTGAAAACATTTGCTAGTGGCATACTTTTTTTCCTGGTAGACTTCCACTCTTTTACTGAGATATATCTGTGGAAAAGTCTGTTCTTGTTAGTTTTAGATGGATGGGAATTTGGAACATTATCCCAGTCATTTTCTGCTAAGGTATTTATTATATATTATATTTTAGTATTATTTTTGTACTATTGTAGTATTTTGAATTACCTTTTATTTTTTATATTTTCAGTTTTATTTTATTTTAATTTTAGGAATTTTTTCAAGTGCATTTGGCATTATTATTATTAGTATTATTGGCTTTAATTAATATTTCTACTTAGCTTTATCTGTTTATTTACAGTTTTAGTTAAACCTATTTCGTTTAGTTGCCAACTCAACATTTCTCATTTTCATTCCAAGTGTATTTTTTTCCTTATATTTATATTTGATCTCATTTCTTTGTCAGTTAACAAAATTGTTTTTAATATTTTTAGTGTTTGTTAACAACACTGGCCTGTGCTGTCATGGAAACTGCAGTGTCATTATTTGAATCAGCTAACACTTTGTTTCACACGCTGTTATTTTGCTGTCAGATTTCAGATGTACTCACCCCATAATCATCTTATAAAGATAGAACTGTGGACTGGTTGTATTATGTTCCGGTTCTGTCTAAATGACCTGTTTTTGGATCAAATAAGCTGTAGTGTGGACCAGCCTGCAAAAGATCTATGTATGTTTGCTAGTCTACCTCCCTGTGCTGCAGTATTAGCCAGAGACTGAGGCTGATGCATCCTGTGGGCCAGAAGCAGAGCGCTCGACTGAGTCAGGAAGAGTGTGAAAGTACCAGTGTGAAAACTTCAAACACATTCCCACAGTGCCGTCAGAGTGGCCAATTACTTTCAGGGCTTTTTCATCTCATTGGTTAGTCAGAAGCACAATGCGAAGGAATGGCTGTGACGCTGGGAGCAGAGGCTGCGTTATGCCAGCTGGATGGAGCCGCAGAACATCTCAGCTGGTGCGCATGAGTCACTTAAACCTACACATCCACAGCGCTCATTTCAGAATTAATTTCTTATTTGCACTGCATCGTTTATTAGCGAGCGCAAAAGGTGAGCGATCCAAAATGCCATTGAAGCGTCGATTTAATTCCAAAGAGATTAGAATGAAATGCAACTGCAAGACGGATGGATTTTCATTATGCTGAAATGAAAACACTAGAGGGTCATCCGACAGGCAGCAAACATCTCATTTTTGTTCTTTCTCCAATATCATTCAAAATGATGGGCTGCATTTATCAGTAAACACACCGGGCGCAGTTTATACGGGTATGTGTCTTTTTTCTTCTCAGGTTTTAGAGTCGATTCTCTGTGGAGTTTCGTAAATCACCTCCTTCGTCTTATTTAAAGTCACATTTGCAGCAGCGCAGTCGCAGATATATATGCGCGGGTGTAGCACGCTATAGGCGCATGTTTCAAATGAAGTGGGCCGTGGGGATGCTCTAGCCACCTACGCTATTTTCCTATCAAATTTAATTTGCACTGTTTACGCGTCCACCACACAAACGTCTCGAGCTCCCATTTTGCGAGATCACCGTCCGAGAGCAAATTATGGAGTTTGCCTAGCGGTTTATAGACTGGCATTCGGAGGAGAGAAATGCTGATGGCAATTTTATGTCAGAAAGACTATGGAGCCTTGATCTGTGAGCCATGCAATGAGCTGGAATGAAACGGCTCTTAGTGCTGTTAATGTGTCCTGGCTCCCAGGAGCTCGCTCCCCCAGTACTGTGGGTCTTTTATTCTAATCAGTCCCGCCGCCGGGATTTCTGGGAGCCTATTTGCCTCCTCTTGCTTCCTGCCAGGCAGAGACTCGAAGAATACAGATGAAGGCCTTGAATCAGGGTGTCACAGCAGGTCACTTCTGCCACATGTGTATAGATATTTCTCGACTTTCCTTGTCCCGATTTCTTTCCTTGATTGTCATAGCCTGCTTAGCAGGAGGCAATATAAAGTACACAGCCTTTGATCTGAGCTTTCTGCTGACCCGTCCTGTCCACCATGCTGCGGGGAGAACTGGGCTTGCACGATGTTGTTATGACCCGCACTGTTCAGTCTGCATTGGCTCAGGCTGTGTTTTGATTGGAGGCGGAGGGAAGAGGCAGTACTGTCTGCCTCAAGTCTTACCTCATTAATCACACAGAGGGAGCAGCTGTTGCCTCCAACATCCTAACAATCTCCCAAACTAAAACTTGCCACAAACTCCATTCCGTTCCTGTACTGTGCTGCCTCAGCAAGTTGTGTGGAGTTATACGTTTATGAATATGACACTGAGTAGTCCATTCAGCCAACCGTCTAATCAATCCCGCCTCCATTACGCACAGCTGATGCCATGATCAACAGAGAGATGAAGTACGTTTCTTTTCTAATTCAGAGCGCAAACTTTTATTGTGCAGCTACAAGGACTGTGCGATTATAGCAAGAAATTATACCTTTCATTGAAGGTATCGAGTTTTTTTTTTTTTTTCTTCAGTAAAATAACAATTCTTCTTTTTTTATATATATATAATTTCAACCAAACAGCAACTGATGTCAGTTAACATCTGTTTTTCAATATTTTTAAATAGTAAACATGACACAACAGTAGGGATATGCTGGTATCAAATTTTTATGTTGCGATTAATTGCTAATGCTTTAATCACGGTATACGGTATTATCACGATATTGAAATTTAGTTTTAAAAAAGTGCTGTCATAATACAGTATAACAGGTTTAATAACTTTTTTCTTATAACAAAAATAACAACATTTAAATGCAATAAAGCAATACAGAAAAATGTATAAAGTTAAAAGTTTTACACAGATTAAAGTGCAAAAGAACTATAAAGACCAATAGGTATGAACGAGTTTTACTGCAGGGTTGAAAAACAAAAAACTGGTCTGACACCCCACACCCACTCCGACCGTCTCACAACACAGCCATCAACACCCTCCCCCTCCCTCCCCCCTACTGTTTCTCAGCTTGTACTCAAGATCTGTGAAGAGGATGTATGCAAAGTCGTCAGGAAGCAGAAGATAAGGAAAGCCAAAGGCCCAGACGGTGTCTCTCCAGCATGCCTCAAAGCCTGTGCTGTCCAGCTATCATCCATCTTCACATTGATCTTCAACAGATCCCTGGAGCGATGCAGTCAATATGGGATTGCACTACATCCTCCAACATCTGGAAAAATCAGGGACTTATGCAAGGATCTTGTTTGTGGACTTCAGCTCCGCTGTAGCGAATCAGCTCATGGGGAAAATGAATAATTAATCATAACTAGTTATAATTAATTATAAATATTTAGATCCGCTGTAGATATTCCCCACTGCTCTTCTCCCTCTACACAAATGATTGCACCTCTACTGACCCCTCTGTCAAACTCCTGAAGTTTGCAGATGACACTACAGTCATCGGTCTCATCCAGGACGGAGACGAGTCTGCTTACAGATAGGAGGTCGAGCAGCTGGCTGTCTGGTGCAGTCACAACAACCTGGAGCTGAACACGCTCAAAACTGTGGAGAG